TAAATTTAAATATTAACAACGATAAATTATCTATTGAAATTTTATATGCAAACTTGAAGATTTTCACAAATATTCTAATTTATTTTTAATAATTCTATTTACAGGCAATAAATTATAATGAATTTAAACAAGATAAACGATCATAAAAAAATACCAGAAATCATGACAGAAGAAACGAAAGAGGTTCCTGTTAATATGTTAACGTTAGTTTTTTTTTAACAAATGTTTCAGTATTTTTTATTTATTCTTCCCATATCAAATTAATATCATACATTCAGAAGATTAATATCTTTTAGGGCAGAAGAATTGTTAGAAAATAAAGGTTTGAAATTCAGTGTATGGAATGAATATGAGAACTCAGTTAAAACTCTTCCAAAAACTGGAATGAAACAGTTTGAACCAAATAATTCGTGGCTTCAGAATATGCAAATCGATAAAGGTATTATGACCAGGAAAAATTTAATAGCTATAGAAAGAGTAGATCGTATTTCTCAGTTAGCTAGTGCAGAATGGTTGCCTGAACAGAAAAGAGCTAAAGTAAAGAAATACTCTGGTCAAGATTGGAGTAGTTTTGGTTTGGAGAAAAGTGGTATTTTGTATTTAATACCGGAAGAAGCATTGTTCCTTCTAGAAGCTGTATGTTATGATACAATAATAATATAGTCGTAGAAATTATTTTCTGATATGTTAAAGAAAAAATAAAACATTATTCTGTTTTAGAATTGTTTGGAACTCACATGGAACGACGTAGCATTATCTATCCAACAAGCTTATGAACTCCTAATTGATAATGTTGAATGCTCATTGGAAGAATATAGAGTTTATAGTCAGTTAATACGATATGGTTATCGCATACAACGTTTTGTTTACAATTCAGAAAAAAATATAAAAGGTGATGAAAATTCTTGTATAAAACGTAAGGTAATTGTTGAGCCAGAAAGAGGTCTTTGGAGAACTAGTATTCGAGAACAAAATAAAGATTGTGTAGATGTAAAATCTGTTAATTCTCCATGTGATGAAAAGTCTGTTAGTTCTCCAAAAAGAACTGATATAAATATTAGTGACCTTTCTGCAGAAAATGCAGTAGAAGATGAAAATATATCAAATAATGTCCTTGAGGTAGTAGATGATCTTCTTCACGTAGTAGAAAATATCGAAGCTCGTTCTAAAAATATTGAATGTGAAAAGATTGCTGTGAACGCACAAAAATCAAATACCATTTTGAAAACTGTAAATACAAGTGGGGATAAAAAGAAACAAAATCCCAGAGTAGAAATTATATCTGATGAAACTTTATTAGGTAATATCAAAATCGTCACAGACCATCTAAATGATTGTACCAAAAGAAATAATATACCTGCAAACTGGCGAGCATCACGTATACAACGTAATGTTAAATTAGTACCTAAAAGAACAGATAAGTTACCAGCCACTGATAATTTAGATTCTAATGCTAAAAATTCTGAATGCAATTCGGGAAAACATAAATTACTTTCATCATCTAAAGAAAATTCGCAATTTAAGAAATCAAAACATGAGGTATAATAATATTCATAATAACTACATTTGCGTTATTAACATATTAATAGCAAGAAACCTTTTATCATTTTTTTTTAATTAGGTAATAGAACTTTCTGACGATGAAATTCAAGAAATACCAAAACCAATAACACGAATGGATTTGTTAAATTTGATTCCAAACATTGCATTTCAATCGACAATTACAATAAAGATTTCAAGGGCATACATACCACACAGTATAAAACCTCATAAAACGACTTACCAATATGAAAGTGCAAAATTAAAAAATTTACATCAAGCAGATAAAAAATTGCAATCCGGTCAAAATTCAGAACATGCAGAAACTAATAAAAGTCAAAATGCATATCAATGCAATAATATTTCTATAAGCAACAATTTCGTTAGAAAGAATACAAACATCGGCCCATTTAATCAAAATTTAGCAACAAATATGCATAATGTTTTTATGCAAGATTATTTTTGCATGCAACATGGGCAACACATGAACTTTAATCGTAATTATGTATATAACAATAAACTACCCTATACTTATAGTCAGAATACGTATTGGCATCAGAGAAATACTACATTTCAGAATGTATTTGTTGCTCTTAATAATCATAGTGCGGCCATTCATCAAAATAGATTTACATCTTTACAAATGAACAATTTGTCAATACCGAATATAAGTAATAATGTGATTAGAAATGTTTTCACTCGAAATCAGTTTTATCATAATACTCATCAAAATGTTTTATTATTGAGAAAATTACATCATCAGAGAATTGTGGAAAACACATCAATACATTGTAACATAGCTGGAAGTGTACTACTTTCAGAATCTCGTCAAAGATATTGGCCACGAAATTATCATAAAAACACAAATACAACATCAAGTTGTAACGACGAAGTCTATCAATCGTCATTTAGAATATTGCCAGAAGCATCATCATGGTCGGAATTAAAGACTAAGTGGCGTGAAGTAAAAACGATCACTATTGATGATGAAGATACGGGAAAAGAAGTGATCGAAGATTGCAATGAAGTACAAGTAGTTGGACAATTACGCAGTCCTCTTATCGGATCAAAGAATGCAAATAATCTCGAAGAAGTTTTTAGTAAACTTAAAATAATTAAGTCTGCTCCTGAAAAAATTGCAAGAAGAAAAAGAAATAAATACAAAATTTCATACAATGTTTATTCCAATACACAAAACTATAGAAAAGCGAATCCTGGTCTACCATTTTATAGAATAGTTGTGATAAGGTAATTCATTTCATTAGTTATATTTCTCGTATGAAATTTATACAATAATGTTTTTTCTTTCATTTTAGTCAAGATGATCCATTTATACAACCAATTGAATTACACCGTTTAATGCAAGATGCAGAAAATTCACCAATATTATTAGCATGTGTTTCAATGTCAATTTCATATATTCAACCGGGATTTATATCCATACCTAATTTAACATAATTCAAATAAAATCTTTCGTTCGCCGTGTGTGTGTGTGTGTGTGTGTGTGTGTGTGTATGTGTGTGTGTGTGTATGTTAGTTATTATGTATATCTTTTTTTTATTTATTTTTATAAAATAAAGAATAAGTAAACAAAAAATACTTGACCAATAGTCAAGTATTTATTCATGTCCTCAAAGAAATTTTGGTGGAAGGTAAATTTTTGTTTTATAATATTGAAAAATACTTTATAAGTTATTTTTATAAATTTTATATATAAATTTTATTTAGGATAAGAATATTAGGCAAAATGCATTAAAGAATACACAAATTATGTATACTTCATACTTTATTATAAATATTTCAAACAACACTTCATGTTGTGGAAATTATTTTTTCAATTTATTTTTTGTATTAAATTTTCTTTTTTTCTGATATTCGTGAAATTACTTTCGGTCTATAACTGGTTCTATCGTTTGTCCACCACAAATTTGACCCCAACCAATCAAACGCCAGTGTTTTTCAACGCGACGTGACAATGCAATTTTTTCGTCAATTTCTGTACATACAGGATTTGTTAAGCTGATTTTAGCTAAATCAGCACGAGTGGCCAATACACGTCCTCCAGTACTTAACGATCCAATATTTACTAATAATACCTCATTTTTCGATAATTTCGGTACCTATTAGAAAAAATATTTTACAATTGCAATAAAAAATACTTTAAAAAGTATTTAAATACAACATCTCCACACGATATATTTACCCTTGCGCCTTTCTTGTCACCCTCGGTTCTTACTCCCAACAATCGTTTAAGTAGATAATATGATATTTCAAGTTCAATAAATATTTTAGGTAGAGCTCCTACGGCTCCTAAAATTTGACCCACTAAACGATCCGCTCGGCATAATGTCGGTTCAATTTTCGTTCCGACACCTTAAAATTCATTTTTAAGTATTACTAAATTCTTTACATCCTCTATGGTTTATATTCTGTAGAATTCGTATTACTTCTATTTGAGCCGACTTACCAATAAGACCACCCGGAACAGCAAACTGAAGTTCATTCTGCTCAGCAAATAATGATACTATCCGTGAAAATATAGGTCGACAAGTCAGTTTTCCTTCACTATCTTTCGAAACCAATCCAGGACGAACTTCAATTTCCATACCCACCTGGGAAACAATAAATATGTAAAATTAAGTTCAATAAACAAAACAACGAAAATAAAAAGTATTTTTAACATACTTTTAATACTCCTCTTAAAATACTTCCTCCAGCAACACCACCTTTCAGATCATCTACTTCACAACCAGGTTTATTCACATCAAACGACCGGATTACAATTAATCTTGGTTCCGAAGTGAAATCTCTTAAAGGTACTGGAATTTTTTTTGTAATATATTCGCATAAAACTTCAATATTATATTTTAGTTGTGCAGAAATTGGTATTACGGGCGCTCCTTCAGCTACTGTACCTAATTTAAAAAAAAATCATTCTTTTAATATTATACATTTAATAGTATATGAATAATAATATAATTAAAATACCCTGTACAAATTTCAAAATTTGTTCATATTGCTCCTTTGCTTGTGCTTCTTTTACTAAATCTATCTTATTCTGCAGAATTACAATATGTTTCAATTTCATGATTTCAATGGCAGCCAAATGTTCTGATGTTTGAGGCTGAGGACACGATTCATTGCCAGCTATAAATAAGTATTTATTGATTTCAATATCTTAAATGATTGCCATTTTAGACATGATAATATAATAGAATTTGAACTACATATGTACCAATTAAAAGCAAAGCTGCATCCATAACAGCAGCACCATTCAACATAGTTGCCATAAGGATATCATGTCCTGGACAATCGACGAAGGATACATGACGTACAAGCTGAAATCGTCCAGAACAAATTGGACGTATACAAGGGAATGAATCATCTTTACTTGATCCTCCAGATATGTAACATCCTGGCCTTGGACATTTCTCATTATCACATTTATAAATCTTTGCATTTGCGTATCCTGAAAGAAATCAATTCGAAAAAATTCGTAATGTTATTTTATGTAAATAGTTCTGCTTTAATTTCATATTTCAATGAATTCTTTTTGTATTAATGAATAGGTAAAGGTGAAACTAATCATTGTATATAAAACTTGATCAGTTACTGGAATAACAATATGAGTTTATTTGTTTACACTCAAGGAAACATTTTTTTACACATATTTTTAAATAACTAAAGAAATGTTTTATAAATATCAAGACACTAACATAATAACTACAAAAGTCAATAGTTTTAATAATTTAACTTTATCGAATATAAATTTCGATAAAATTGAACATTGAATAATCTTTTGATAAAAAAATATTTGGCAATCAATGTGTAGGAATGTATTAATTAGAGTTTAAATTAGTATAAAAACTTAATAATATACATGACATTGTACCACAATATTTCATTGAGTTTATTATAAATTTTTATAATAAATATTATAAATTTTTATAATAAGTGATTATAAGTGACTATAGAAACATTAAATGATATATTTAACGAAACGACTTTAATATAACATTGTAGTTTCATAGAAACATCAGACGAAAATGTGTTGTATATATTTTATACAAATACAATAGATCATACACAAAATGTGTGAAAAATAAATTTCTAGACTATGTTAATGATGATATGCAGAATGATATTTAATATAAAAGTTATTGATATTCACAGTTTGCAATTAAAAAATAGTATAAATGTGAACACATAAATGCAATTTATTTCATACCACCTTAAGTTATTCTAATTTTAAATAACATTTTATTTGTGTAATAAAAATATTTTTTCTATTTTTAAACGACTACTATTACGTAACATTTTTAACATGAAATTCCTAATGTTTATTCATATTAAAATTAAGTGCATTCAATATTAACTTGCATCAAGTCATTCAAACATTTTATATAATGTGACATAATGAATGACATTGTGATATTAAGTTTAACATAATAATCATACAAATAATGCAAAATAAAATTTATCACTCTCATTTTATCATTTTAAATAACTTATGCCAGTAAAAATATTAATTATGAGGTGTAACAATTCAACTATAATTACTTCTAATAAATACATATCAAATTGCAATGTTATATCATCAAAACTTTTGTTAAGTATTTCAACCATTTCTTAAATGTATATAGTCTATTGAACGAACAAAAAAAATAGTCATTAACAAAATACAAAATTCAATTTGATTCTAATAACACAATGTTTAATTCACTTACATAGTTCGTTGTAAGACTATCAATATGATTGAAACTGAATGTTTATATAACTTTGTTTGTACGTTAATACAATAAATTTGTGAAAAATAATTCAAAATAAGTATCGTCTACAATTTTGAGCACCACATTTACATAAAGTTTTATTGTTAGATAAGTCGGATTCTGGTGTATCTGGACGTAATTCTAATTTCTCTTGAAATTTCATATTCATGTATATATTAAAATTGTCTTTCATTGACATATTTTGTTTTATAGAGTTTTCACTATTCTTAGAAGATTGACACATGTAATCAAAAGTGATTTCCTCATTTTGTTTAATATCTCTTGTTGCAAACAACGCAAGTTTAGGTAGATTTGGATCAAGACAATTGATCCAAACACCATAGACTGCGAGATTTGGATCGCAAGAATGATTGATGAAATGAGAAATGTTGCCATATACGGCGGCATCTACAGTATATGGACATTCTTCTTCGATCTCATTATAATCAAGATCAAACAAGTACGTTCTACCAGCGGCATCGTATTCTTTGCCACGCTTTTCAGCCTCTTCATTTGTTATGACTTCGCCCACATATTGCGTAACAAAACTGCCTTTCTTAATCATTTTTAAAGTTTTCACACCCCAACCTCGCCCATTTGCAGTTCTGAAAATGCAAAACTTCATCTTACTGCCACGTTGCACTACTCGATTGAAGCAGTTCATGTCGCAATTGCAACGTTTGTTACATTCGTATATCGGTGTTCCAGGTGGAACTCGAATCTTACATGTCGAAGTATATGGACATGATCCATTATCGTGAACAAAGCAACAATTTGTTTTAGAATTACAAGTCTTACATTCGCAACCAATAGGTGGATCATCAGGTATTATGACTCCATTACCAGGTAAATAGTCTTCTATATAATAGAAATCTTGAGGTGCCGATTCCAAATCTACCATATTCTCCACTTGTATTATTGGTTTATCTTTAGTGATAATGTTCATTTCAGTTTCCCACTCTTTCAAAGATTCTAATTGTTTCTTCCTTAAATCAATAATTAACATACGAAGAATATCATGTTTTATAATATTTTTCAGTCTACCATTCATTCCTCTTTGTCGGAAATATTTGCGTATGCCAAAGCCAATTACATTTGTTTCTAGTGAAATTGATGTTAAAGTTTCTCCTCTCTGATTAAGACAACTTATAAATTTTTCAATATCGTTATCCGTTGGATAAAAATTTGCTTTCTTTTTGAAACGATTGATTAATTGCAACATATCCTTTTCAAATTTTTCTACAATATCTGCACAATTCACTAGATTTGATGCAGGTTCCCAAGAATTATACTCTGAATTCCAATTCTTCCATTTAATTAAATAATTTGGTATTCCTTCCACTATTTTTTTTGCAAGAATCTTTTCTACTTCCCAAAGAGTAGTCTTCACTAATTTTTTCATTCTCTTTTTATTGTCAAGTTTTATATTCATATGCTTTATATCTTCTAATATAATCCTAAGTTCCTTTAATCTAATATTTCCTATGTTGTTTGTTTGATGCTTTTCAATATTAGTATATGATTTGCATAATCTTGTATTTTCTATATTAATTTCTTGATTATCAGAATAGTTGAAGTCTCTTCTATCGTTGATTACTTCTTCAGACTGTTTAAAATAGACATTATAACTATTTGCTTGAGAAGAATTAAATTTTTGATCAAGCTTTTGATGTTTGGTCGTTGGTTGAGCTAATCCTGGAGAGGCTGGTCTTTTTTCTTGCGTAGAAGACATTTTGCTCTTGTAAACAGGATTTTCTTCTTGTTCTCCTCTGGTACTGTCCTCTGCATGAGCGTCTGTAATGCCAAACATTTAAAGAATGTCATTCTTTCCAGTCACATTTTTCCATATTTTGTGTTTAACCTGTACAATCATCTCTTTTTCTTAGTATTAATATTATCACCCTGTACACCAAGAATCCTTCAAATCCTCTTCGCTCTTCTCTTTCATTTATTAAAGAAGATGTTTGGTGCTATTGTAAGAAAATTAATGTAACTTGTAGAACATTTGTGCAGAAGATTGTGTCACACATATGCAGAAACATTTCTTATAAAATTATTTCAATTTCTCATTAAATTCATTATATATAATTATAATGTGAACTTTTAATATGAACAGCGTAAATCTATTACTGTTCAGAAATAACATGTGAACTGGTTGACTAAAGCATACCTCAATATTAATTTTTTTTCTTATAATTGCAATTACATTATAATTAAAAGAAATACTACATTATACATGAAATATTAGATTACTCTAAAATATCTTAGTTTAATTAATTGGTATTTTAATAAATTAAATTAAATTAGGATTTTAATAAATAAAATACACACATCAACTTCACATGAAAGAAATTGTTGGTTTTATTATATTTATTTACACGATAAATAAATAAATTTTACATAATTTATTATAATAATTACATATATGCATAAATTTAACAACATACAAGATAAAATTTATGTATAATTTAAGAGACTTTATTTAACAAATGTAATTATACTTACCTCAATATTACACATTATAACATAAAAGTACATTCACACTCATTGCTTATTATCTAAAATATAAATCACTAAGATAAGTTTAGTTCATCAAAAAGCTTTTAACACTTTAAAACAGTTTATTAAGGTATGCTTTAATCAATAATCATTTGTCTTTTAATTATATATGATTATTTGTTATTTAATGCATGAAATCATAGTGTACTTTTAATTTATTACAAGTAAAAATAATCATGCATGAACAGTGCATTAAAATTAAAGTTTTTTCATTGCAGATTGAATACTGTATTCATGCTATTATATTAATATTTTAATATGTATTATATTATTTCATGAACTCGTTCTTATACTTCAAATTTATTAACAAAAAAAATTCTTATATGTATTTTTATTATGAAAATAAACTGTTTTTTGTTTAATCTGTTTAAAGATAATTAAATAAATAATGAATACGAAAAATGAAATAACTTAAATAAAATAAGATAATACAAATTAACTAAATAGGAGTTAATATTTAAAAGAATTATATAATTTACGAATAGAGTTAAATTTTCGAATGTCAGTTACAAAACACCTTTAATCCCGCGATCTAAAATGTTTTATAAAATGGCGATAATCTCTCATATTTAGCGCCATCTATATAAAACAATAAAGAACATGATTCTTTAAAAATAAAAATTTATTTTCTTTAAATATTTCATCAAATAATGTTCAAATAATAATAAAAATTCAAATAATTTGTTCCTTCATTAAATTATTAATCATAATTTTTTTAAATGGTATCTTCTCTAGAAAAAAGTTCCATTTTCTTTCCATAGCACCCAAACCAACCATTAAATTGCAATTGATGTGTTTTTATTAACAACTTATTTATTCTGACTATTAAACCAATTTCTTGTATTTTTTGCTGTACACATATATCAGCATTGTGCAAAGATAAGATGATAAGGCAAAGCAATACAGGTATGATTGGTTATTTCCAATAGATACAATCGTAAAAATAAACGCGTAATGGCCGAAGGGGTCGCATATATGTATATAGTAAGATATAGTAAAGATATAGTAAAATATAAGTAAGACGCGAGCAATAGATTTTTTTTGACATCTTTTTTCTGTATAGCACTTAAGTAATGAATTTGGTAATATTTTCGTCGTTAACAACAATCTGTTATTTTAATTTTATATTAACCCTCGAACGATTGATTCTAGCAAGGATGCATGGAATTAATGGCGGTTCACTTGTGAACCACAAGAAACTTTTCATATTTTAGAAAATTCTCTATCAAAATGGTATCTTACTGCGTTACATGCGAATTGTTAAATGACACTAAAATAAACTTATTGTTTACAATAAAATATTGGATATGTAACTTCTTATATAGTTAATAATATACATGATATTTTAACCTATCACATTGTTAAAATCAATTTTGTTTAGAAAAAAGTTAACTACTTTAAATGGGAAAAAAAAAAAAAAAAAAAAAGAATGAAAACATCAAGTTTCAATGAAGAAAATTGTAAATAAAGAGAAAAAGAATGTTGATTTAAATTAATGCCTTGTTATGTAAAAAATATAGTAATTATATATAATTTATATACTATGGTATATTATATATTACTTATGTATAACAAACCATGCATATGTCACAACAATGTGATAATTTTATGTAAGATCTAAATCTACTTACCAAGTTTAATAGTAATATTTCTTTCTAATTCATTTTTAAAACGAACAGTCTGTACTCCTGATATAGCTTTTACAATTGTAGACTTTCCATGTGCTACATGACCAATAGTACCTATACATAAAATTTTGAATTTATATAATTTATGCAGCAAATTTTTATACGTATCTTTAAATTAATATTTACCAATATTAATTGTTGCTTGTCTACTGATGACCTCACGGGATAGTGCAGTTAATTTACTAACATCCTAAGCAACAAGAGTTTCATATATTTAAACATTTGACTTCAATGTAAAAATTTACTTATTCAAAAAATTAATAAATTAGTACAAGCGGAATTTCTGTGAATTTTACTTCGATTAAATAAATTCACAAAAGATGTATTCATACGCTACAAAAGTATGTGACCAAGTAGAAGTTTACAGACATTTTTTATTTTTATGAAAGACTAAAATAAAAATCATTGGTGCATTTGTATCTAGTAAAATCATGTATTAACATTGTTAACAAAATTATAAAAGCGTGTGATTTTGCGATAAACAAAGTATTTGTAAATCACTGTATGATAATATAATGTATATCAAAACCAGATGTCATCAACAATCGTTATAACAAAACGTCTGCAATAAACAAAACTTCGTAAATGAAATTTAATTTCAAGAATTAATATTTTAATTACCGGACATTTCCGTCAATAAAATTTTTCATTTATTTTAACAAAAACAAAAATTATTACAGTATGTTAGTAATATGCGAGGTTATACGTAGCATATATGAGAGCTTGCTGAATTGTGAAGGTATATTAGTATACTTATTACTCACAAGCTTTGAAAGATCTTGTTTATAAAGGTTTGGTTGACCCGTAGTCACTCCTAGAACTTCTTCGCCACCCATAATCACTAAATCACCTTTGGTAAAACGTAAACCACACGAGAGACGCTTCAAAAAAGGTGATGCACCTAATTCAAAATCACGAATATAGATGATTGTTCGTCAGTAAAAGAATCAAGAGAGCGAAAACAGCGCCAAGTGGGAATACTTTGAATTAAAGCAACGCAGATTTTTCTCTCGGCTTCATATTTAAATTGATTTTTGAACATTAAGCTTAAAATAAATAAAATGTTACATTTCGCAAACGTCTTTCAAATACTTCCTTGCTGTTAAAATATAATTTAACGTTGAAATTTTAGTATAATTATTAAACTATTTCAAACAAGAATACATAAACTAATTCAAACAAGAATATGAGAATATCATTCTTGTATTATATTAATACAATTATTAAGGATCAAGGGATAAAGAAGTAAAAATACATCATCTTCGACAAACGATAAATAATAATACTTAAAACTCAGAAAAGTACTTTTATAAAATAAAATAAAGATATTTTTGAGTGACAATCGATGAAATAATAATGTAATTAAACCTATGTATTTCAAATATTGGTTTTTAATACGTCATAATTGTCAATAAAAATAGTAATTAGAAAGAACGGAATAAAAAAAGGAGAAAAGTACAATGTCTAAGAAGATATAATTAACCGGAAAAAAACTCATAATACGATCGAGTAGTATATACAATACGTGTACGTATGAAAATGAAAATTTAAATAATGAAATGTCATTGATGTCAAAATTGATGCGTATCGATTATTGAACTTTGGTTAAATACTGTTCATTCTTTTGATAAGATATTAGAATAACGCGTTAAATAAAGTTATCTGAATATTACAAATATTGCATATTTAAAATGGAACAACGTTCAGAATTTGTGGATTTACTGTTTGCAAGACGTAAAGATTATGATATTTTGTGGGTTTCTCGGTCAATGGATTCATTATCACCACATAAACTTCCACTGGAATCTAAATATTCTAGAAATGAAATGATTCAGGCAGTTTTAAACGATGAAAAAGTTAAATTAGCAATTATTTCTTTGGCTGCAATGCGCCAAATGGATGTCAAAAAAGTTATTAAAGAGGCTTATGATATAATAAATGAAATGGCTAGCAAAGCAGATTTACTTACTGTTCGTTTCATGGGTAAAACTGTGTTTTATTTGAGTTTATAATATTTTTATTTTCTACAGTTACAAATAATATTTAAATTTCAGGTTTAATTATTACAAAAGTTCTTAAAAGAATTTTTGTGAGCATTTATGTTAACGAAAAAGCAATATACAAGATGAAAAAGGAGATGCAAATTTCTCAGATACAATATGTTTATGCACCTTCGCACAGAAGTTACTTAGATTTTGTAGTGTTATCATATGTCTTATTTTCCTATGACATGGCACTTCCAAATATTGCTAGTGGAATGGATTTTTATCACATGTATATAATAGGAGAATTGTTCAGAAAATCAGGATCCTTTTATATGCGGCGCAGTTTTTCTAACGATCCATTGTACAAAAAAATATTTAATGCATATGTAATGTCTTTAGTAAAACATAGTGATAGAGCAATTGAATTTTTCATTGAGGGCACTCGAAGTAGAAGTTTAAAGAGCATAGTACCAAAGTTTGGTATGTTAAAATCAAATAATCAAAATAATTTTGATATAAGATTTTGATTAATATTTAATAAAAACATACATTTTCTCTCTTTACATTTTCAGGTCTTTTGTCAACTATTTTGGAAAGTTTATTAGAAGGCAGTGTACCTGATATATATTTTATACCTATTAGTATTAACTATGAACGACCACCAGAAGAATTGTTATTTGCATATGAACTTTTAGGGGTGCCAAAACCAAAAGAATCTACCGTTGGTTTACTTCAGTCTCTATCTATTTTACAGAAGTCATATGCCTATGGATCTATTGTTTTTAATGTTGGTGAACCTATTTCTGCATGCCAATTTTTAAGTATGGAACATCGCAAAGAAAAAGTATTATCACCTTATGCAAAATTACCAACATCCGTTGTTAAAAATCTAGCTTATTGCATAATAGATTCACATAAAAAAAATACGATACTTATGCCTTTTAATTTAATTGCTTTATTATTTAATGAAAAAAGTCAGATGCATTCAGGCAATCCATATACATTAGACGAATTAGTCAGTGATTATTTATGGTGTAAAAGGCTTTTAGAAGTATTTAATGCCACAGTATATGTAGGAAGGTAAGTTTTAAAAAATAATCATGGGAATTCTAATTAATTATATGTATTATAGAAAGAAGTTTGCAGGTCATTTGATACAAATGATCAAAATACAGGCAATGTAAAACAAGAAATATTAAATAGTTTAAAATCTCACGAAGAGTTACTCATAATTGATACATCAAACATTTTGAAACTCAAAGAGAGACATATAATAACAAAACTGAAAAACAGTACCCGTATTAAAGGTCATACCTTATCAGAAAAAACTATGAGAATAGCTGTACCTGCCATTAATATTTCAATTTATCTAAATCCAACTTTATCTTTTTTAATAAAACCAGCTATTGTTACTGTTGCAATAGGAATAGAAGGAAATAAGCTCGGTAATATTATTGTATGCATATGGCATATTACATATAAAAGATGAAATAGAATTGATGTATTATTGTATTATGTATAGGAAACGTATTTAAACGATATGTATTATTAAGAAAGCTATTGACCACAGAATTTGCAATGCCTTTAATAGAAGATGAATCTGTGATAAAATCTGAATGGGAAGAAACATTAAATTTATTATTAAGACAAAGCTATATAAGTATTCAGAATAATACATATATACAAAGAAAAGATACTAAAGTATGCTCCCTTCTCTATAATGTAATATTACCATTTATAGATACAATATATATTACATGTCTTGTTCTGTTTGAGGTAAAATTCAATAATATTCTATAGTATTTTATATTTATTATATTTATATTCTCAAAGATATAGAAAAAAATCTGTTTTTAATTACAGTGGGATGAATCAAAATCAACTCATATAACGATACAAGAAGTATCGATCGAAGCACAGAAACAGATAGAAAAAGCATTTCTCGAACAACACCAATGGGGACAACATCCTTATTCCTTATCAATCGATTTAATTAACACAACAATATGTAATCTTGTAACACAAGGTATTCTGATACCACATGAAAACCGAAATTTATATCTAGTAAACAAAATCGAAATAATACAGATTCTTGCACAACTGCAAAATCTTTCGCTAAAACGACCATTAGGTTCATATCTTAATGCAATATTACTTCCTCTATTACCACCACCTGTGTCTGCTAAGTTGTAAAAACAGGATACATGGAATAAAATTGAGGAGGTATGTATTAAAGCAACTTAAGTTACATAAGGAAATGACTCAGTTATGAAGATTTCAATATATAATTAATGCTATAGATATTTGTTTAATTGTTGCGAACTTGCCTTTTATATTAAAATTTAGAAGAAAAATTATGTAAATTTTTAAGAATCATACTCGCATCGTCATTAAATTTATCTATTGATTTTTTTCTTCTGCCAAGAAATAAGGTAGTTGTAGTGGTTGGTACAGAATTATTCATATTTCTGAATAAAAGCTAAAGAAAATTATTATATGAATTATTACATAAATTCATATCATTAATTGTCATAATAGATATTATAGATAAATAATTACCATAACTAATCTAATCAGATACACAGCAAATGTAAGAAATGAAATAGCCATAAGTGCACCTTCTATGGAGGGAAATCCAGCCGCATGTTCATGATCATAACTATGATCGTAATGTTCAGTACCTCTTTTTTTGCGAGCATTTGTTATACTTTCTGCAAGTTGAAATTCTGAAAACATTATTAAAGATATTTGATTATTATAATTGATTATTGTCATATGCATCAATTATTTTTTTGGTATCAGTTATTTTTATTATTGTTCTTATTGTTATTATTATTTGTTGTTACCTATCTCAGTCATTAATGTATTTTCAAATGTCTTCAAAAAATGAATTTTTCCATCAATCGATGTAGGTTGAGATTTCAAAATAAAATGAACACTTTTAAGTATATCCACTGGAAGATAATCCAAAAGTCTTGCATTCTTTGAAGTAAAAGATTCATTCAGGTATTGTTTATTTCCTTTCTCTTCCTAAATGACAAAAATGAAACATTCAGTTGCTAATTGTTTTTCAAAATGAAGTAATATTTAAAAAATTTTTAATGCAATAACATAATTACCTTCATTATTAAGGGAATTGTTTCATTGCATTCTTTTGTATCAAACACATTTTCCTGATCTTCTTTGATATTCTTTTTCATACTATGAAAATTGTATTCTTCAGTTTCATTAACTGTTATTTGTTCTATTTCTGCACTCTTATAAGTAATATTCTGATACATGTAAGAAAACTGATTTCCCATATTTCTTTGAGCAAATTTGTAAAAACGATCTTGTTTTGTAGTAGGTATTCTTTGAATAAAAAAATATAAAATATCCGAAAAAATATTGATATAAAATTAACATTAATTTTATTGTTATTTAATATGATTTTATACATACCTATATATTTTTTTTTCATTAGAAAATTGAGGTATATCAATCCATTCTGCCAAACTATTATTCAATAATATCTTGAATATTAATAAACTAGTTATGAGCATTGTAATTAATTAAACTATGTAGTTTTTATAATAATGTAAATATATATATATTTAATAATATTATACAATAACAATTCATTTATTCCATATATTTGCATTCACTAAATAAAATAAACACAAGTAGATGTATTGCTTCTTTAAGTTATAAAGAACTAACTGAAGATAGTATGACAGGATCAGGATGTCATTATTTCAAGCAGAAGTTCTGTTAGATTTAACGAGGACAAAGATTAAATTTACAACGCAACGACATAAATTTTTCTAAATACTCCAATATATATTTGTACATAGAATTTTTATTAAAAAATTATTGTTCGAAGAAAAAATATATAGAAAGTATTAAAAAAGTCTATTAGAATTAATAATTTATTTATTCGTATTATCATAATAAGTACAATAATATTTAACATTTTATAATTTCTTATGAAAATTTGTTAATTTTACTTAAAATCTATTAATTATAATGTTATTATTTTTTAATTATAATGTTATTATAATTAATATTAATTATAATGTTATTATCTTTTAAGTACTTTTGTTTATTAATTATATAATTGTAAATATTATAAACTTAAATTCAACAAAGTACAAATTGTTAATTCTTATAAAATTTAACGTTTTTACAAAAATTTAAAAATGTTCTTTAAATCATAAAAAGTTTCAAATATGTACAATTAATTTAGAAACATATTACAAATACATAATACAACGTATAAAAGAATTACTAATTTTGCAAATCATATAGAGATTATTTTAGATAACAATATCTATCGATATTGCACAAATCTCCCCATATATAATTAAAACGTATAATATGTACAATTGAAAATATTTCTGGAGAATTTTTTATAAAATTATAACAACTATTATGTTTATATTTAAATTTAAATTCACTATTTCATTAACTATCTAAATACAATATTTTAGTACAATTATAACGTATGTTCCATAATAAAAATATAAACAAAGCAATAAGTATTCATTTTGTAATTAAAGTATTTTTGGAAACAAATTTTCAAAAATATAGGCCATGTATCATGTATAACAACATACTTGATGTTATATTAATTAAACATAATAAATATAACTTGATGTATAAAATAATTAAGTATTTTATGAATAAATGAGATTCTGTTAATTAATCAAGTAATATATGATTGAAATAATATTTGTATTTGTATATCATGCCCTTCTAACGTAAAAGTAATGTAAAAAATGATCCATTTTGAAATATAATATTCTATTTAAAATATTATTACAACGAGTAAAATATTCAGACAAATCCCAAATATTACTATCCAAAAGCAACTCAGTCTTTATGAAATATTTGATCAACACGCAAGGAATTATATTTGTTCATATTTAATTTCTGAATTTAAAGAAAATGATTTCTTTCCTGATTCCTCATCATGTTTCTTTTATTACTACATTTTTATTAATTTCAATGATTGCAAAAATATTATAATAAAAAAAAAGTATTGCGCTAGAGTAATATAACGAAATATAAAGTTTTTTAAGACTTTAATATATCATTACAAAATGAATATTTTAAGTTTCTTATAAATTCATCTATTTAAGTCAATTAATTTCTAAATATTGTAAATTTTTCCTAGTAACTATATATGTAATCAAAAAAAGAAAAGTAAACACAATACGTAAAATTAAAAAATATATATAATTTAAATCTTTTTCTATTTGGAAAATACATTTCTAATGTATTTTGCTTTTAATAAAATAATGAGAAATAATTTTATAGATTAATAAAATAAAATAACAAATTTACTAAAACGTAAAATTAATCATTTTGTCTATTATATGCTAATTATCAAATAGTTCCAAAAAATTTTGTTCACTATTTTCTAGTACGAAATTTATCACAATAATAATTATAATTATAATATTATATAGAAAATGCTTGAGAATATATATGATAATTTTCTTGGAATGTACTTATTTTCAAATCTTCCCTTGTCTTTATAAATGCTTTATTACGATGTATAAGATCAAAAATTTAAGAAGACTGCTTTTTCAATAATCTTATCTTTTATCACATAAGAATCAATAATTTAAAGTATACACTTTATGCATGTCTTTTTATTTTTAGTTTTATCTTTAGTTTTAGTTTGTATTAATTATTAAAAGATTTGACACAAATTATAAACTTCTAATATCTAAATGCTTTGAAGCAAAAATATGAAATAGTAAATTTATTATATATAGCATAATATTACGTCTATGAAAAATTCTACGAGTTTTTAAGAAGTTTACATGGTACTATTTTTAACTTCATCTTACTTCAAAGAA